TTTCTAATTGAACCCCACAGGAATTAGTTCATGGCAGCAAGCTACTAAGTTTTTTATCTGGAAATAAAGTTTACTAAGAACATTCATAAAAGCTACAATAAATAATGTAGCAAGATTGCTGATTGGGAACCATCTGGATTACTGGAAAATCAAGTGTTTCAGCATGATCAGTGTGAGGTCATGTATTTAAGAGTAATTAATGTAAAACACTTATAGATGGGAAACTTCCTCACGAAGTAGTTGGAATAGCTGATAACAGAGTAAATGTGGGTTCCTTATGCATAAATGAGTTCAAAATTGTTAATATAATTGTTAAATGGCTCAGAAAACAAACCACCAGAACCAAATGCAGGGAGGAAGAGGCCAGAGAAACAGGACTATCATCAAAGCAGATTTTTCCAAGTAGATCTTCGCTGGCAAAAGACATTGCTGCATTTCAGGAAGCAGCAACAGGATGACAACTTCTGTATCCATGTTTATTGGAACTGCTTTATCAGATTATAGCATCTAGTCCAAAGAAGTTATTAGTAAACCAGAGATTTCAAAGAGCGAGAACAAACGGCTCAAGTGCAAAACAAGTCTAAAATTGAGCATCACAATGGAATAATTGGCATACAAAAGTTAACTCCATCACGTGAGGCTTAAGGACCATATGGAGAACTATAAAGCATTTGGTGGGGGAAAAAAACCCCCAAACTATATTAAGTGCAGTATGATAGCTGAAAGTAAGTTCATATTAAAACACCAAGCAGGCTTTTTTTGAATAACTGTAGTAATTACTAAGCTTCTAGAGGTGGCAGTAGTTTTGCTAGCCTTATACGTGTCTGATGACTGGACAAAACTGCAAACTAGAATTAAAACATTATTTTTAAAAGATAGTCACAGTGACCTTACTATAGGCCATCATTTCCTAATATGTAACATCCATTTCTCCAGTTCAATAAATCTGCCAAATAGTGATGCAACTAGAAACAGGCATGCTCTCAGCAAAATGCTTGTTTGGGGACTGACAGTTATCAGTCTCCAGGCCAAATCAATGACTGTTCTCATTAAAAAACACCCCTCCAACGCCCAGTCTGAATAAAGGGACTTATCTAAGTAAAGTGAATTTAAGCTTGCAATTTTGAGAATGAAAAAACTAGCATTTTTACTTAAAGCTTCGGCTCTTGCACCTCGGCTTTCCGTAATGACTAAAAAGGAAAAAAAAAAAAAAAAGGCTTGGATGGGAACGGGCTCGCTACCACTGGAAGCGATCGAGACTTGCTTGTGTAGCAAATCCCGGTACCTCCCCCACCAGAACGCCGAAGCCCACCGGCGACGGCAACCAGGAGCGCAAAGCCGCCCGCGGGGCCCGAGGGGGAACGGCGCCGTGCCCCACAGGGCGCCGGCCGGGCCCGGGGCAGGGCGCAGGG